AGTTAGTGTGAAGACAACGGAGAAAACAGCTACAAACCCAGTTTTCAGAGTCTCTGCTGACTTCTGTAGCTGTCTCAACTTCTGTTCATCTCTTTCTGCCCCAAGTTCCCCTTTATCCCTATCTGCCTGTCATCCTTTTCCAGTTGCAGGTTGCCCTGCTGTCAGAAAGTACGTTCCTAGGACACATTTCATAAGTGAAACGGTGTCAATGAAAGAAACATGACTGATCATTTATACAGAAAAGTTTTTAGCATTTCCAGAACAACCTGCCAGATCTACCAAATGACACATCAAACCAAAAATCACACCCCTGCAGAGTCAAAGCAGGACTGCTGTGATAAAGACCGCCTGCACGCCACAGTCCTAGGAGGGACATGAGCAGTGTTTTCACTGTCCAGGGGCCGTTGCTCTGGAAGGGCTGCTGTGAAGCCTGTGCTGACACTGAATCGGAGTGCACTTTGTCATGAAAGCATTAGGCCTCTTGCTGGGTCTGTTTTCAAAAACTGGGACTCATGGAGGCATTTTTGGAAAATCCAAGGGGCAGAATGTGAACCTTTCCAAAGTGGGGACCCGCCTCTCTATCTGGGTGCTTCTATTTTATGTTATCCTCAATTCTAGAACAAAAGCACATCTTGATTATTATTTTGTTATTATTATTACTACTCAGGCAAGTGAAACCACAGTAAAAAAGGTAGGATTCCGCATGAATGGCGGGGAGGGCTGCTATTTCAGTAAAGCAAGAGGTGGCAGGAATGGGAAGGCTTAGGGAAAGCTTGACAGCCTTCTTCATTTTCCTCGCAGGAAGGGCCATAACACAGTAGAGTAAATGCTATCTTTGGAGGCAGGCAGTTCTGTCTTGGAAACTCTGCTCTGCTACCTAGTACTGTATGGCAGGTCTTTACTTGCTCTCTGGATATCAGGCTCCTTGATGTAAAACTGGCATAACAACTCTTGTCCTGGAGGACTACTGTGAAGATTGTGCCTGCATGGATTTGCGGTGAATGCTAATGCAGTCTTGGCACATAGTAGGTGTTCAGTGCAGGGCTGTTGTTATTGACACCCCAGGGGATGAGCTTAGGAGGCACACCAGAAGCTCTGCAGGTCTGCAGAGATGGCAGAAACAACAGATTGAACAGGGATAGTCTAAATGTTTGCGATCCTCAACATTTAAGTGTGGAAATCCTAAGGCCTGCTGTATGGGTGTTAGGAGGTCTTCAGGTCAAGCGGGTCTGTCCCACATAAATGGAGTTGATACCCTTGGTAAAGGAGACCCTAGGGAGCTGCAGACCCTTTCACCAAGTGAGGCCGGTCAGACAGCTCACCACAAACCAGGCTGGCTATTCCCTTGATCCTGGGCTTTTCTGCCTCCAGAATGTGAAAGAAGTTTCTGTTGCTTATGAACCATGCAGTATGGGGCATTTTGTTACTGCAGCTGGCAGACTAGAACAACAGGGAATTGACTTCTGGCCTCATCAAGGGCCGGCCCCTGTTTTCAGGGGAGGGTTCCTGCCCTGTTCACCCCTCATAATCTCTCCCTGCCGATGCATTCTCTAAAGTGACTGCTTACAGTCCAGCACTCAGGGATGAACAGTGATGCCAGCTTACTCCCAGTTATAGCTGTGATAATGTTACAAATATTTCTAACCAACCATCAGGGACACCTGAGTCCCACGTCCCACCTAACTAGCCTCCACTTCCCGTGTGAGAGTAGACTTGGACTGGACCTGCCTTGAGTGCTGGCTACCTGCACAGGTGTCTCCTTGTGCAGGAACTGGGCGCAGAAAGATGGTGACCTGGCGGCCTGTGCTTCGAGCTGCTCGACACGCACTCCCGAGTGCTGCTGTCCCCTTCCCTGTCAACCAGGAAAAATCCCTGGGTCCTTAACAAATGGAATCATGAGCAATGTTTTAATCTTGTACCTTAGAGAGTAAATCACGGTGATGGGAGCTTTGGTAGCATGTGTACCACATATTTTAAAAACAAGATGCTTGGAACTGTAACTCTGGCAAATGTGTAATGAAAAAATCAGTTTAGTTTCAAGACGAGCAGTAATTTAAGTACATTGTCTACTGGCAGAGCCGTAAGGGGTTAGAACCTTTGGCTCCAGTGACTGGATCGTGGTAGCAGAGTTCCTGGTAGCTTGACATTGGCCTCAGTCCAAGGTTCACACACCACGAGCTGCATTTTCTCTGCCGGTGCTGAGTCAGTCATGATGCAGCTGGCAGAATGCAGCTCTGGCCGTTGTCAGTAAGATCCTGCCAGTGTTCACCAAGGCTCACACAAGCTGCCTGCCTATGTGTACCTTCAGTCTCCATGGACAGCACCACGTGCTGCAAGGTGAACTGCTCATGCCAAAAGCACAGCAGGCATCTTGGCTTCTGCTGCTTCTCAGGTGGGGTGGGTTCTGGTGGGAACCAGATCCAAAACAGAGTAAACTCCTTGGCCACGAGCTCTGCTGGGCAGCCCTGCTGGGCTTGGGTGTAGTTCCAACTGGCAAACAGCCCCTTGCTTTTAATAAAGCCATTGGTACCTTCCTTAGAGGAGAAACAGAATGGGACAAAGCTGGCCTTCCCTGTGCATGGAGATGTCAGGAAGGGTAGCTTCATAAAAAACTCAAGTCAAAGTTATCGGAGAATAACAATACTGCATTCTACTCTAATTGTGGAAAAAGTTCCAAACTCTGGGGCCTCCCCGGTGGCGCAGTGGTTGAGCGCTGGGTTGCGAAGCTGCCCACAGTCTCTGCGGCACCGGTTCGATCCCCGGCTGCTCCCCGGCCACCGGAGGAGGGTCCCACATGGCGCGCAGACCTCTCCTGCCGCCCGCTGCTCCCCTCAGCAGTGTACTTCGGTCCTTCTGCCTGCTCTGCTCCCTGCTCTGGCTCTGGTGAATTCTCTCACCCTCCCGCGCTTCTGACTGTACCCAGTGCATGTATAAACAAAAACAAACAAATAAAAAAAAAAGTCTCTATAAAAAAAAAAACTTTAAAAAAAAAAAAAGTTCCAAACTCTGTCATCAGCACCATCATCACCAGGAAGGCACCAGGGGCAGATGAAATAACGCCCCAAGGATACCTTGACGCCTGAAGTGAAACCATCAGGACTTGGCACCTCTGCCGCTAGAACATCTTGTCGACCGGTCCGACAAATGCCAAGTGAACACGTGTGGACAGGAATGCGCAGCAAGGAAGGAACGTGTGTTTCACAGTGAGAATCCAGTCTCGCTGGAGGGAGGAAAGAGCTGGACCATCTGCCGCATGGACAGAGCCATCCAGTCCCTGTTGGTGTAGAAGTCGGGGGAGGAGAGACCGTTCACAGCTGGCCGGCGAGCATGCCAGAGCCTGTTTTAGCAGCCCAGCCTCGCGGAGGAGGCAGACGCTACAGATCAAATCTGTGTGCTTTGCTGCTCATCAGACCTGAGTGTTATTCTCCCGAGCAAGCAGGAGAGTGCTAATTGTTTGGCGGCCTTTGTCATGTGTACTCTCCAAGAGGACTGCATAGTGTATTTGATAGTTCATAAATTTGCAGATAATGGGGGGGGGGGGCGACAGGGATTTTAGTGTGTGCCAAAAGCAGACAACCTGCTGTATTTCCTCCTCTGTGGTATCTGAACCCTGAGTGCTTTCCTTCCTTCCTTCCTTCCTTTCTTTTTTTTTTAACTACAGCGTTATTGAGGTGTGGCTGACATGTGGTGAACTGCATGTATGTAAAATGCATGATCAATAAATACATATATATCCATCAGACTGTCCCTACAATTCAGTTTAGCACCTTCATCATCCCACGAGCTTTCTTGTGCTCCTTTGCAATCTCCTCCCTCCTGCTTCTCCCTCCTCCCAACCCTCTTTCCCCTCTCCTGGGCCACTACTACTCTGCTTCTTGTTGCCATAGATGACTTTGCAGTTACTAGATTTTTTTTATAAATGGAATCATACAATATGTACTCATTTGTGTTTAATTTCTTTCCCTCATTGTACTTATTTCGAGGCTCACCTATGCATATATTAGCACACCCGTGTGCCCCTTGCAATGTTTTGGTCAGCGACAGCCTGATACTGGCCAGCTGAGGTGTGCAGTAGAATCTCACTCTATTATGTCTCACAGGATGAAATTGCCAAGGAACACCTTTCTCTGAACATATCTGCTGGTTAATCCAATTGCTGTAATCGATGCATGGCTGTAATTCATTTTTGGTGTCCAGAGCAATCTTCTAAAATATGGAGAAAGGAAGTTTTTAAATCCATGCTGGTATTTGGGGTTTTTTGGTGATCGCCAATAAAACTGTATGAACGTTTATGTGCAAGTCATTATATGGAGAGATGCTTTCGTTTCTCTTGGGAAAATATGTATGAATGAAATGGGGAATCACATGGTAAGAGAATGTTAATGTAAGACAGGACACACCATTCTCCAGCGTGGCCCTCCCATCTTTCATGTCCTTCAGCCAGTGGTGCATGAGGTGTCCAGTTCTCCCCCATTCTTGCAGACACTGGGCGTGGTGACAGCATGTGCTCATTCTTACAGGTGTGCGGTGGTCGCTCATGGTGGCTTTAACTTGCATTTCCTCAGTGGTGATGATATTGAACATCTTTTCATCTGTTTATTTGTAATTTGCATGACTTAGCTCTGGGAGTATGTTTTTAAGTATATATATATATATATACACACACACACACACACACACATACACACATATATATACACATACATATGTATTTTACCTATTGTAGAGGTTTCATGTATTAGTGCATTTTGAGAGTGCTTTATATATTCTCTAAATAAGTCCTTTATCAAATACATGAATTGCTCATGCCCTCCCCCCATGGCCTACCTTTTCACTCTCTTAATAGTGTTTTAAAAAGAGTAAGTTTTTAATTTCAACAAAGCCCAGTGTGTCAGTTTTTTTCTTTTATGCATCTTTCTTTGGGTACACATTAATGAAAACTTCCCCCCCCCCAAGTTCACCCAGTTTTTATTCCCCATTTTTCTTCATTCTTTTGTCAGGAGCAGAAGTAGGGGTGCTGGCTTCTGGACGCCCAGAGACTCGTTTTCTGCACTGACTACTCTGTGCATCTGGCTGCTGAGTTTGGATGGAAGCGGTGGAAAGAAGGTAGGAGCAGGTGCTTCGGACACTTTCTGTCCAAGAACAGCCACTACTTGCCCCTAGAGGACTGGTCGGGGAGATTTCAGATATATTCATGGCACATTTCTAAGCAGAGGCAGTTTTAAACAGTATTTTGAAATGTTAATGAGGGGCATTTATTATTTAGAAAAATTGGGCAGTGGAAAAAACTTTCTTGGCCTTTAAATCTTATGATTTCTTTCTTTCGATTTGTGCCGTTCTCACTAATTTGGATTGTATTTTTCTAGAAGGTGGGCTTAGCCAATGGCTCAGGGTAAACACTCAATGCTGAATGAACTGGAACTTAAAACTTAGTGACAACACTGCAGGTTCCACTATTCCACTTGGTCACAATTTTTGAAATTATTTTCAAAGAATTACAATTCTGGTATGAACTCTCTTTGTTGAAACTACTTTAATTCAAGGCAGATTTGATACGGTTGCCAAAATTTGAAGTATTTAACGTTAAAATAGAAATACAACCATTCCCTGAGGGCACAGACTTTAAAGTAAACCTCATACCTGTGAGCACAAAATTACTTGAAATTTCCTTTAATTAAGTTAATTCTTTTAGAGCAGACAGTCTAAGAATTGCTTCATTGATAACTTGTGCTTTTTCTACTGCTTGTCTGTTCTGATGTTGTTACTGAGCGTGCTCAGAACTTTGGGGACTTTTGGGTTCAGTTTTCATAATACATGAAGGTTCTGTATTCTGAAGTTTAGCTTTAAAACTGTGACATTGTACTGAGGAGAACATCGTCTAAGCTGATTCAAGTATTTACCATGTGCATTGATTGTCTAACGGCTGACTGAGGGGCTTGGGACTGCTGTGATGGAGAGAGGAGGGGCTTGAATTTCTTGCAGTGCACTCCACTGGAGCAACTGCTAACAATTTAAACAAGGACTTTTTTTTTAAAGCAAATTGTGCAAGTAGGGCTTATTTCCTGGAGGCGGGCAAAGGACATGGCTGGACTTCTAAGGTTTTTTGCAGCTGACACTGTAATGAGACCACTTCCATTGAAATGAACTAATAAATACAAATCCCCCACGTGGACTACCAACTGATTTCCAAAATATTTACTGAACTTCAAAAAGCACTTGCAGAATCACTTAAAAATCATTTTTAGGTCCAGGAGAAATGCACCCATACTCAGTCAGCATTTGTCTTTATTTGATCTGGCTTATACTGTGACCGGTTTTCTTAAAGAGTTGGTGTTCCGAGGGCTAAACAGCCATGGAAAAGAAGACTGGTAAAAGTTGAAATCTAATTCAGTGATCTTTTCAAAATTTTAATTTTCCTACTTTGGGGGATAAATAACCAAAACATCCACTGACCAAAAAAGTCATCCATTCGTTGTTAGTAGGTAGCTTGCAAGACTTGGAGAAGGACTTGTTTGGCATAACTGGGAAGTGACGGCCTCTTGTCGCAGTGGAAAGAAGTAGAGTGCTTCTCTGGTTTCTGAATCTCAAGTAGCACTGTTATCAAAAGGGAATTACAATTTCTTTTTTTTTTTTTAATTTTATAGAGGTATGTTTATTTATTTGTTTGTTTGTTTGTTTTGTTTATACAAGCACTGGGTACAGTCAGAAGCGCGGGAGGGTGAGAGATATCTAGAGATGGCATTTCCTCTGACATCCCTGCTTGCCCAGCTTCCCTGAGAGTGGTTGTCCTGCAGTTCCTCACTTCTTAAGCTACTGCAGACACTCTCTGGACAATCTCATTCTTGCCATGGCTCCCTCTGCCATTCGTGAGTTGACTGAAGACATGCACAAGCCGACTTTCACCACTGATTCTGTTGTTTCCATCCAGCTGCATTTTAAACACCTCTGCCTGGCTGTCCTTATTGGCACCTTCACTCTTCAGAATTTCAAATCTGAACTCACCTTTTCCTCTGACTACCTGCCCTTCGTAACAAATAAAAGCACGTTTCATTTCCTCTGCCTCCAGTGAGGCCACCACCACTGTCATCCAGGCCCTCTCAGCAGGGAGCCGTGGGCTGGTGATGGAGTGTGGCCCTGGCTTACGCCAGCACTCAGGAGTCAGCAGTGGACTTTGTTCATCTGACAGTCCTGGGGGGTCAGAAGTCAGCCTCGCTTGTTCCTAGGGTGGAGCCAAGGCATTCGTGGGGCTCAGATCCTGTCTGAGGCTCTAGGGGAGAGCTTTTGCTGGCACCCACATCCATTGTCCATGGCCTTCGCTCTGTCTTCAGAGTCAGCCTGTCAAGTCCCTCTCACACTGGCTCTTCTCTCTTCATTTCTCTTTAGCATTTAAGGATCCTTGTGATGACATCTTCCTGTTTTACAGTCAGTCAGCTGGCCCTTTGGCTCCCTTTGTCACAGGTTCTGGAGGTTAAGACTTGGACATCTAGGGGGATGGTCATTCTGTTCACTACCCTCCTTCCCTCCCGCTGCCCCATGCACCCACCCCACCAGCACCCTATCCTGCTGTCTTCTTTACTATTACCTAATATATTATTGTAGACATTTATTTTCTGCTTTCCCTCATGGAATCCATCATAAAGCATCCTAAGACATAAGCCTTTTCTTCTGTCCTAACACTGATTTCGTGCGTTACTGCATCTGGAACCATGCCAAAAAACATCGCAGGTGCTAGATAAATATTCTCTGAGTAAATGGATGAATAAGAATGAGAATCTGCCATCAAAGGCTGCCAGTTTGACCTTGACTCCAATTTCACATAGCCACTCCCTTCCCTTCATGCTCACGCTTACTTCACTTGTGGTTTAACTCATTTGTGTTTTTTCACACCAGTCTCATTTTTTTCTTGGAAAGTTTCACTATTTCAGTAAATATATCTCTAGCACTTTTCTCACTGTCTCCCTAGTTTATGTTCTAGAGACTCTGGACGCTTCTCCTGAATGTTCTGCAGCCTAGAATGTCTTCCCTTCTCTGCCTCCCTCGAGACGTCCTCCCTCTCTTCAGGGATCTACACCCAGCACCGCTTTCTCCATCAAGCCCTTCTTTAGAGAAATCTAAGCCAAGTGGAGGCCCACTCTTGTCAGGAAGTGCCCCTGAGAGCGGGCCAGTAAGACTCAGACTGAACACCCGAGAGAGCTCTCTCTGTTGCTCCGTGCCAGGGGAGAGATGCCAGGCCTGGCTTCATGAGCCTGCTGGTGTAATCTAATCAGATCATTATTCTATCATAGCCATTATGATGCCTTTTTAAACCCAGTACCGCCCTCCCCCACCAATACACACAGACACGGTGTCCCTGGGTTCAGCGTGGGGAGACCCACGGGCTTGCAGGCTGCATGACTGAGACCCCTTAGTATTTCACTGTGCTAGGTATTATGCGTATAGCAGATCAACACAGTTTATAAACCACGTGTCTTTATATGAGATTTTTCATATTCTATCATGCTCTGGCATATTTTTCTGCGTTCTAGTTTTAGCTCAGTCACTTACTAGCTATATAGCCTTCAACGAGTCACTTAAGCTGTCTCAGTCAGTCCTGTTTTCATGAGTTTATTGGGAAGGTTAAGTTAATATGTACAACATGCTTAAAGCATGCACAGTGTTAGTTTCTGCTGCTGTTGCTGTCATTATCGTTCTAGATGCTGAGTTTTCTCAAGGAAAGTGCAATCACCATTCAACACATTCTGAACTAGGTACGCATTTGACACCGAGCAAGCGGTCACTAAGTGCTGAGTACTTTTGAGCAGTGGTCATAGCACGGCAGGACATAGTTCACATGCAGGACACTCACTTATGGAGCCGGCGGGCTCATGGACACTGCTCCTGCAGAACAGGGATATGTAGCACCGTGATCCAGACGCAAGCCTGGTGTTAGACGGGCAGTCTCAGCGCTTGCCTCTTGTGCGCCTCTTTCCCCCTCACTCTGTGAATCAGAATTTTGATTTTACTTGTCAGATAGAATCATTCAGTATGTAATTAGATGGTGTTAATTAACTTGGAATTTAATAAACAAAGACTAATTTGTTGAGAATGATTTGTTCAGCAATCACGTACTGTTGGGTGTGGGGCCTGCTTGGTGCTGGAGCTGTGGCGGTGGGATCTATACCGCACACCGTGATTTTCTATCCACCCTGGAGTAAGTGCCTGGCACTGGCCCTGCCTCTGCCTCCCTTTGCCTTTCCAGATAACCTTTCTCCAGAGGGAGTAAAGCAAGGGCCCGCTGTCCTCTGCTAGGCCTCAGGTGGCGCCTCTTGGGAGCTGGGCCCGATGGGTGGGCGAGCTGGGGTTGGGTTTGTCTCAACTCCCTGTCCAGCTGCTGAGGTCAATTACTATTGCTGGCTGTTTCTTCTCTGTTGCCCATTTCCTCCTGGTTCTTCTGTCGGATCCCTTCTCTTCCCCCAGCAAAAAGTCCTGGAACAAGGCAAATTTGGGTTTTCTGCTAACTTTCAGCCTTTTTGTAAGATTTGGGAGAATGTGTGGCTCTTGAGCCCCTGCTCCCAGATAGGGGCCTGGCTCCTGGCTGGCTCATCCTCTGATTGCTTCGGTTTCCATGCCCTGACACACCGACCATGTCAGGAGAGCTGGCCGGCAGGAGCCCGAGTAAGTGCTAGGAGGGTCAGAATCTGGGAGAGCCCATGGGGCCAGCCAGTCTTCTGGCACAGGGGCCCTGGACCCAGCGCTTGGGCTGGAACTCTGCTCAATCCTCTTCTTCTGAAGGGGTGAGTCATCTTACCACGTTCTCTTAGTGCCCTCCAAGTGGGTGAAACCAAAGCCCTTTCACTTCTGAGTGTGGATCTCTGGGGCAGGGCCATCTAGGGTGGCTTCCACTGCAAGCTGCCAGGCCGGGGTGTCCACGGCCCTGGCCTCATTTCCTCCCAGCCGTGGGGGCGCTCTCATTGCCGGCTCAGGGGCCACACAGGCCCCTGAGTTACTGGTGACGCTGCCGCTAGTTCCCCAGGGTAAGAAGGGTTTCCTTGTTAGCATGTCTAATGTGTTTCTTTATACAGTTGGGATATTGCAGATGAATCAAAGTTTTTAGTTTGAAGTATACT